AACGACACTATTACTTTATATGGCTGTGGTGAAGAGTATACCTGAGTTAATGCATGTTAAGCACTTAAAAGGATGCCTAACCTACAGAAAACAATACATGTTAGCTATAAATTGATTTGAAGTGGCTTCTTCATTAAGCAAATATTGCGCATCATTTTCATCTTTTAAAAATAATTGCTTTAGTACGTGAGTATCTAACTTAAAAGAAAATTAACATTTTTAGTTATTATGTTTTTAAACTGGCAACTGTTTCAGGACATCCAAAATATTGTCTCCTTACTGACTCCTTATCCCATCTCCCAGTGGAATATAGACTGTTATGTTGAATGGGTTGACATGGGAGATTTCTCCTGATTTCTGAGCTTAGCAATGGGTTCCCATGACATGTGCAGTTCTTAATAGTGCCCACAATAGAGGAGGAAGAGAAATAGTACAATAATCCAGTGACAAGTTCTTAAGCCTTAACCTGCACCAAGTCAGTCCTAAAGTTTCATATTCCTTAGAGGTTACATGGTCATCTTTTTCTTTTCTTTTTTATATTTTTCTTTCTTTTTCTTTTTTTTTTTTTTTTTTGGTCTTGTAAGAATAGATTTTTAAAAATCTGAATTTATATTTATTTCAGAAAGGCCTGTGCAAATTTATAAGTTAATGAACCTGTTTCTTAAGCTCATCTCTTTATGTACATACCTGCAGTGAGAGAAGTAAATAGGCCATAAGTAATTGTGTCAAGAACTATGTATTATGAAATTGTGCTAAATATACACATTTAGGATATAAAGAAAAATTTATGAGAAGAAGAAATTGTTCTTCTAAGGTATTTTATAAAGAGTGAGTATTCATTTCTTATAACAAATAATCCACAGTCTGTCCTTATAGCCTACTTAGACTTTCTCGTTCTTGTGCTGTCATGTAATAATCAAAATATAATCAAAAGTTAGTTGGGTAACTTTAAAAAAAATTTCACTAGAGGAATGAATTTAACAAATTCTAGTGTTTAATTTTCTAGCTGTGAGTAAGTTGAGGATGAGGAGCTGCAATAGAAAGATAAATTAGGTATTTATCTTTATATGTGGCTTATACTGGGGAAGTCCAGAGTATGCAGAGAATATATGGGGATTTGGAAGCTGGGAATAAGGCTAGAAAAATGCTGGATTTTGAATAGCAGAAGGAAACAAAGTAAGACATTATTGAGGGATCGTTTTTAATTGCCAGTGTCATGCTGTGTAATAGGCTGCCATGGGAAATTTCAATGCTGATACAAATTGATTGATATGCTAGTATTGTCTTGTAATTAGAACGCTAGTTCTTAATATTAACAATTTTTTTCTCAACTTCTGTTATAGGTACTTTTAAAACTTTTTCACTTCCTCTGAAAATGATGGGAGTTAGGTCATACTAGGAAAAACAAATTCTAGAATAAATACAATTTGGACCAAACCTATTTTCCTCTGAAAAAATCCAAGACAGTATCTATGTTTAATGTCATCTAGCCTTGAATTTCATTTCCCTTCAACAGTATGTCTTTTTATGTTTGTTAGGCCAAACAACTTCTCATTTTACTTCTTACCTTGGTTCTTGTTTCATGTTGTTGTTTAATTAGAATAAAGAAATGCTGTTTGGGCATTTTAAATGCCTTAATAATGTTTGATTACATAGAGGAGTGAGTTACTTTTATAGGACTCACACCCAATTTAGTCTCGTTAGTAGCATTTCTAACCATGTTTTTATCTGCCCTTGGTTTTAGAAGGTTTCTAATTGTTAGCAGCAGCTTCTCATTGAACTAAATCTATTTCCTCCATAACTTTCACTTAGTTGTCCTTGGCAATTTGGGGCTATATATGTGAAACTTAATTCTTCTTATACACAATAACTCTTAAAGTATTTGAAAGTGACTGTTATATCCTGCTTGACTCATTTTTGCCAAGCTAAGGAAGAAAAATCCCTGATTCTCAAGCCACATGCACATGATATGATCTACAAACCGTTCCCCATCCACGTTGCTAAACTCATGACAGAGTCTGTTTGTCAGTATACCTCTTAAAATACAGTGGCCAGAACTGAACTGTCTACTTCAGATGTGGTCTGACCATTGATGAATACAATGAAGCTATTATCTGGATACTGTACTTCTATTAATGCAGCCTGAAATTTGCATTACATTTTTTGGCAACCACATTACCCTTTGATCACATTGAGCTTATGATCAACTAAAACCTTGTCTCTTTTTCATGTGAATTGCTTTAAGCTTAATCTTTCTTATTCTTGCCAGTTCATGCTTTGAAAGTAAATGCAGGATACTATGTATTGCATTACTATAAAAATTTAAATTAATTTATCAAATTTTAACCCATTTGACTATCTGGAGATAGTCAACTAACATTCATATAAAACAGCACAATTTTCATGATGTTTTCACATCTATTTTTTTTTAATCTTTACAACAACCATGTAAGAATTGAAAAACAACTTTCCACTAAGTCAGGAATTGACAGGTGTCTTTTTCATTGTAAGCTTTTTGATTCCAGATCCCATGCTTATTTTGTCACTGCTCATTACTTTGGTATGTATTTAGCATGTCTGTTCCTTTGTGGTAGGCACTGTGTGGTGCTGGTGCATCAGCGGGCAAGGCAGATTACAGTCTATCTTTGTATTTATGGCTGTCTTATAAATAATTACTACCAATTACTGAGCACATTTTATGAGGAAGGCACTATGATAGACTATATTCAAAAATATCTGTTGCCCCTCTCTATCAGGGTCCTCTCTGTGGTAGAGTTATACTTCCTACTCTGTTGACATCAGGTTTGGCTGCTTGGCTTTTTGTGACCAATAAAATGTTAGAAGAAATGACATGTTCCATGTCTGAGCAGACGTTTCTCCATCTTGCGGTTCTGCCAGTGGCCCTTGTTTCTGTGTCATGGAACCAGGATGCCTTATCTAGGGCTGGTCCCAGAATGGTGGAGCAGAACTGAAACCCACCTGTAAGTAAGAGATAAATACTTGTGTTGTAAGGTACCATGATTTTTGGAGTCATTTGTTACCATAGCAGAATATAGCCCAAACAGTGACACTGACATCATTCAAGGTGCTATATGAAAATAAATAAGACTTAGGCATTGTCCCCAAGGAGCTTACAGTCTTGGTGGATGCATTACATTTCCACAGGTTATTGGGAGTTGGGGAAAAGAAGAGTATATTATGAAAGGGTCTTTGAAGTTGAGGATCTTTCCTGACCTTCATCTCATCCCTAGGCTGAATCAGTCAGTGTGCTTTAAATCTTGGATTTGTGATCCAACTACTCCCTGTCACAACCTCTTATCATCTAAAATTTGATAAGCATGTTTTCTGTGCCCTCATTCAAATCACCTTTTTAAAACAAATGTTTAAGAGGATAGACTTCTACAGAGTAGTTATTAAAAGCATCCTTCATAAATCTATTGATCAGCATTTAGCAGGTAAATTGAAAATCAGCTCAGCATTACTATTTCTCTAGCATTTACAGAAAAGTGTTATGAGGTCTTAGATTCTGTGTGAATTTTACTTATGAGCATTTAAATTTTCCATTGCCATGTCTGTGTATGCCTCACACTTTGCATGGGATTTTAGAGAGACAGAGTCTAGGCTCCCATTCAAAAGGAATCTTTCTTTGCCCTGAGAAGCTAAGGAATACATTACCAGGGTTCAGGGGAGCTTTGAAACCTTTGAAATAATTACATGTAAAATTTTATGTAAATAAATGTATGTTGTTTTGGTCTCTAGCTTTCATCAAATTATCAAAAGGAATTATAACTCCCCTGAAAGGTTACAAACACTATTGTAGAGTGAGACTGGAAGTAGAACAAGGATCTGGAGAGCACCAATGTTTAAGGGACAGGTGGAATAAGAGCCCAGAAAGAAGAAAAAGCGTAATTAGAAAGGTTTGAGGACAGGGAGGGAATTTTTTTTCAGCATATTATGTGGGTACAAATGTTAATGTTATGTATATTGCCCTTGCCCCCCTACCCCCTTGAGTCAGAGCTTCAAGCGTGTCCATCCCCCAGTTGGTGCACATGGCACTCATTATGTATGTATATACCCACCCCCTCCCCCCACCTGCCCGACATCTGATAAATGTTATCCTATATGTCCATTTAGGTGTTGATCAGTTAAAATGTCAGAGAAGCTAGTTCCTTATTAATCAGGTTTTTTATTTTCTTTATGATTCCTTGGAAATTACCAAATTTGTAGACATATAATATCTTGGGATATTATTTTTCTTGATCTTTAAACATGAATTTAAAGTAATTCCTTCTTTTGATGTCTCCTTCCTGTCTTGGACTTTGATTTTTCTTTTTTCCTTTTTTTCCTTAATACTTATTTATCCTTTGCAGATTAAAGATCATTCTTCTTTTTTAAAAAGACTGACTCAAGGTAGGAATAAAACAGTTGTTTATATTATCTGTTAACAGTCTTATCCAAAGTAAGTAACCTGCTCTTTGTTTTTCTTTTTGTTGAGAATGCATTGTCTTTTTATTTTCCTTAACACTTCTAGCAAATCTCTATTTTTTTAAGCATCATTGATGTATAATTTTTATACAATAAACTGCATATATTGAAAAATATACAATTTGATAGGCTTTGACATGTACGTATACCCATGAAACCATCACCACAGTCAAGAAACTGAACATACCACTCCAAAAGTTTGTTTTCTAGTTCCCCTTGATAATCCTGCTTTGCATTCCCCGGCAGCCACTGTCTGTTTTCCTTAACTTTACATTTGCTTGCATGTCTTAGAATACTCTTCAGTATGTACTCTACTTTTGGTGTGACATCTTTCACTCAGCATGATGATTTTGAGATTCATCTGTGTTACAGCATGTATCAATAGTTATTCCTTTTTATTGCTAAGTAGTATTCCATTGTATGGATATACTACAGATTGTGTATCCATTCACCTGTTGATAGACATTTGGGTTTCTATTTGTGGCTTTTATTTTTTATTTTTATTTTCTTTTCAGTGGGACATTCCTCTGGATATTTATGGCTTTTAAAAATAAAGCTTCTAACAACATCTATGTGTATGTCTTTGTATGGACATGTACTTTTCATTTTTCTGTGTATACACCTAGGAGTGAAATGGCTGAATCATATGGTAGGTATATGTTTAACTTCTTAAGTAACTGGCAAACTGCAAAATGGTTGTACCATGTAAAATGTTACATTCTTACCAGCATTATGCTAACAGTTGATATGGTCAGTCTTTTTAATTATTGCTATTCTAATTGGTGTGTAGTGGTAGTTTATGACTATTGATGTTTAGCATCTTTTCATGTGATTATTTGCCATCCCCGTATTTTTTGTAAAACATTTGTTCAAATCTTTTACTTGTTTTAAAAAATCTGGTTGGTGGTTTTGTTATTGAGCTTTGAGGATTCTTTATATATTCTGAATAAAAGTCTTTTGTCAGATTTATAATGTGCAGATATTTTACCTAGTCTGTGGTTTGTCTCTTCATTGTCTTAGCAAAGTGTCCTTCAAAGAGCAAGGATTTTAATTTTTTTTTTTTTTTTTTTTTTTTGAGACAGTGTCTCGCTCTGTTGTCCAGACTAAAGTGCCATGGAGTCAGCCTAGCTCACAGCAGCCTCAAACTCCTGGGCTCAAGTGATCCTCCTGCCTCAGTCTCCCAAGTAGCTGAGACTACAGGCATATGCCACCATGCCTGGCTAACTTTTTCTATATATTTTTAGTTGTCTGGCTAATTTCTTTCTATTTTTAGTAGAGATGGGGGTCTTGCTCTTGCTCAGGCTGGTCTCGAACTCCTGACCTCAAGCAATCCTCCCGCCTTGGCCTCCCAGAGTGCTAGGATTACAGGCATGAGCCACTGTGCCTGGCCTTAATTTTGATATTTATTATAATTTGTCAATTTGTTCTTTTATGGATATTGCTCTTAATACTGAATCTAAATTTTTTTTGCTTAATCTAAGGTCACAAAATTTTCTCCTTTGTTTTCTCCCACAAGTTTTATAATTTAGGTGTTATATTTAGGTCAGTGATCCATTTTGAGTTAGGTTTTGTTTATGGTTAAATTTTGCATGTAGAAAACATTTTTTTCTGTATGAATGTTTACAGCTCCATTTGTCATTTGTTGATAAATTACCCTTTTTTGATTGAATTGCCTTTGCCTCCTTTTTGAAAATCAATTGTCCGTATATGTGTAGTTCTCTTTTGGACTCTATTTTATTCCACTGAAGTATTTGTTGTTCTCAACACCAGTACTACACTGTGTTGATAACTGAAGCTTTATAATTTGTACTCCAATTTTGTTCCTCTTTTTCAGAACTGTTTTTGCTAGTCGAGGTCCTCTGCATTTCCTTATGGTTTTTAGAGTAAGTTTATTGATTTTTTAAAAAAGCCTACTTGAGATTTTGGCTGAGATTGCATTGAATCTATAGGTCTATTTGGAAATAATTGACATTTTAGAAATACTGAGTCTCTGACCCATGAACATGATATAGCATCTATTTAGGGTTTCTTTAATTTTTCTCAGCAATATTTGGTAGTTTTTAGGGTACAAGTCTTTTATATTGTGGTCACATATATCCATCTGTAAGTTCAGTTCTCTAGAGAAACAGAACCAATATAGGTGTGTATGGTGAACAATATGTGTGTATGTGTATGGAGAGAGAAAGAGAGAGAGACTGATTTTAATAAGTTGGCTTGTGTGATTGTGGTGGCTGACATGTCCAAAATTCATAGGACAGGCAGAGAGGCAGGCAGGCAGGCAGGCAGGCAGGCTAGAGCTTCAGGCAGATTTCTGTTATAGTCTTGAGGTAAAATTCCTTCTTCCCAGGGAAACCTTAGTATTTTGCTTTTAAGGCTTTGAACTGATAGGCCTACTGGCATTATGAAGGGTAGCTTCTTTCTTTAATGTCAACTGATTGTAAGCATTAATCACGTCTACAAAATACCTTTACAGCAATATCTAGACTAGTGTTTGACTGAACAGCTGGGCACTGTAGCCTAGCCAGGACAACACATTTAATGCTGTTATAAATGTTACATATTTTAAGTGCAATTTCTGATTGTTACTAGTTCACTATTTCTTTTATTTTTAAACTATAGCCTTCTTTTCATTACTCTTAAACAGATGAGTGACAGTCTTTTCATCCTAAATTAGGATTACCCTCCATCTTTTTTAGACATAACCTTAAAAATATGAATTTTTAAAGGAAAGTCCTAAGGTTTCTTAATCTCTTAATTTTTTGTTTATTAGAATCATCTGACAGAAATTGCAGTTTCATTTTAACAGTCTTATCTCATTTTAGCCAGCTTTCCTGTTATTTTTTTCATCGCAGGATTATAATAATCCATAAATAATTTAGAGATTAAAATAATTATTGACCATATAGAGGCATTCAGTAAATATTAACAGATGTCTGTTACTAGAATATATTCCATTACAGAATCATGGAATTATTGAGCTAAATGAACCTTAAGAATTAGTCTTAATTTTTTCCTTTTATAGAAGAAGGAACTTATGCAAAGAGGTTAAGTGGCTCACATCATATAAACATTAGAAAAATAAAAATAAACCTGGTTTTCATTATCCTCCTAGTTGTAGGATGACAGGTTCTTGAACCAAAATGTGCAACAAGGGAAAAGATAGTGACATCTATTTGCTTTGTATCTGCTGCATTCTCTGTTGCTCATTTATTTTACACCTATGTTATTTCACACTTATCCTGGGACTCAGGATATTGGGATTTGTCAAACAGTTCCTCCTTTAGTGTGGAAACAGACAAGTTAACACACAGTTGCCATGTAAGTTAAATGCTATGATAAAGGCAAGGTTAGCATGTTGTAGGAGTACCTAATGGGTATGTCTGCTCAGTGGTTCTAAGTTTAGATTCTATTAACATATAGAGTTGAATGAGCTTGGCTCCTCATTTCAATGTAGTATATATTATATTTCCTTTCCTGTACTTTTTTTGCCTCCCAGCCATAGATCTGGACTAAACATAAGCTAGTTTGAAGGCTATACATACATCAGGCCCAGTGGGTTAATCCATGCCTGACCAATAAGACCTATCTTTACAGCCAGCATGAGGGCAGCATGACTTATTTTAAATAGAAGCCCAGTTAGAGACTCATGTAAGAATAGTTGATCTTGAATAGATGTATTCCTTCTCTTAAATGATGCATATTTTATTCTTAATTTTGAAAAATTCTGAAAGGAAATTGAGCAGTAATCTTTTTGTTTGTTAATTTTGGCTTGTTTTCCCTTTACTGTTTTCTACTTTGAGGTGTGGCCATTTCTAAGAGCACTAGCACATGAAGTTCATTGTTGATGTTATAACATGTTCTGAATCTTAAAATAAGGTACCAAAAATGCATTCAGAGAATAACTAGATAAAGTAGCACTGCTATAATTAGGGAGAAACAGTAGTTTTCTTTTAAGTCTTTCTCTTTCAAGAGCTTATAATTTTCTATAAAACTCAAACATTATCCCCTGGGCAGGTGTATTTTATTCTTGCTCTTCATTCTGTTATAAAGTTTGATTTAAAAAGAATAGTTATTTTTTTCTCCTACACAAGGTATGTTCATATTTGAATTTTTTTTAAGACTCATTGCTGTATCCTGAGCCTGCCTTCATTTAAAGAATAATATATTTGATCTACAAAGGAGTATCTTTGACATGTATGTGTGTGTATAAATTAAAACTTGAAAATATGGCATACATTGTTGAGAATATTAAGTGATTCCTGAAGACTATACTATATTTGCTCAGAGTATTAGATAGCAACCAGTTTTAACAGTCTAATGTGGTAAGTGATATGGCATTACCACCTCTTGGATCATGTGAGCATAAAACTATCCATCTCCATTATCCATCTCCTGAGTTTATGAAGAAGAAAGTGAGAATCTTAGAAATTTGAACTGAGAAAATTGGACTCAAGTTAGCAGTTTAAAATGTGAAACCAAATTGTGTATGAGTTAGTTTTCTCCTCTTTATTTTGTGCAGATTAAAGAACTGAACTATATAAGGATTTTCCATGAAAAGGTGAATAAGCTTTCTGAAATGAATGATTTTAGTCTGTATAGAAATCATCTCCAGCTGTAATAAATGTAAAACTGTCAGCTCTTTGAATATCTCTTTGCAACAATTAATCATCCTTCTCAGTTTACGGCACAGGTGAGAGAACACTCTGTGTATGTTGCTTTCTGTCTCACGTTCCTCATTTACAAAAAGAAGATAATATTGGTACCTGCCTTATAGTGTTCTTGCAAGGATTAAATGAGTTAATATATGTAAAGCGTATAGCATATTACCTCAAACATAGCAGTATTTAAGTGTTTATCATTTTTATTGTTGCATATCTATTCTATTTTTATTGTTGCATGTCATATTTAAGTGAAGTTTTGTTAGTGAAGTTTTCGCAGAGAACTTGACATTTGAACTGGGTAAACAGAACTTATAAAAGTAAAATATAAAGAATTGAAAATATTAAAAGCTTTGTGAACAAAGTTGTTAAGAAGTAAAGAATCTTTCCCCTTTTTTCTCTTTCCATTTATTGCATACTTGCTATATGCCTGCCACTGAGCTCAGTGTTTGATGAACATTACATTATATTATTTAATTCTCACAATAACCCTACAAGATAGGTATTTTAAATTGTCATTTTACATGTAGGAAGGTAGCCACAGAAAAATAAAGTCACTTTTTCAAAGTCACAAAGTTAAATGTTTGGCCTAGTTCTGTCAGTTTGTATAGCCCCGGTTCTTAGTTATTATTTAATACTGCCTTCCTAGGAATAGACTATCAGAAGATCATTCCAAAAAAATCTTTAAAAAGATGAATACTCCAGGGTTGGAGTTCAAAACATTAATAGAATTATAATATCAAGGATGCATGTGATCGCTTTGTCACTGTAAGAGATTGGATGCTGTGTTTGCTAGTTGCTTCAAAAGATTGAAGAGAAACAGGCAAGCCTGTCCTTGCTGAATACATCGTTTCCTCTGTGATTCTGTCAGTATGCAAGTACTTTTTTTTTCTGAACTGGGAATGATGGTATTGTGGTTATTGAAGTTTTTATTATCTCTTACTAGAAATTATACAAATTTTCCCAATAGTATTTTGGTTGATACTTTGGATTTCAAAGTTTCCACATACTTTTGTTTCTTAGAATTGCTGTTTGAGTACCCTTTTTAGTTCCCTGCATCAGAGAAATGTCTATATTTCTACTTTCCAGTCTTCAGCATTTATGGTTTCATGTTAGTGAGGTTTGTTTAGAATATAATTAGAATAATCTTAAATCTGTTACTGATTGTGCCTTCCATCCCTTAGCTACTTGTCATATCTTTCTTTTGAAACTTTTAAGGAATAATTCCATACTCATTCTTTTTCTGTTCACATATCTCACTGCTGTTATTCAGACTTTAATTTTAAGGCCAGAAGCAGTGGCTCATGCCTGTAATCCCAGCGCTTTGGGAGGCCAGTGGGAGGATCTCTTGAGGTCAGGAATTCAAGACTAGATTTTAATTTTAAATTTTTTTGTCTTTGTATATTAATTCCTTTCATTAATTAGCTGACAGTAGTTTTTCTCACCTATGTTTTTTAATGCCTTTCTTTACTGTTTAAAACTCCCATTTTCAGAAGATGTAGCCAATGACTCAGGTGCTGTTCTTGCTTCAGACTTTTGTAAGACTAGAATCTAGAATCTTGATAACTAAGATCTTTCTCTAGAATTTATATATTTCCTTCTGCTTTTAAAAGGGAAGAACATATGGAAACAAATAAATATAAGAGATTTTGCCAAAAATTAAAAAATAAAACCCCAAAACATTCAAGATTTGTCAGTGAACATTTAATACCTGTTATAAGAAATTATGAAGATTTTTACCTTTAAGTAAATCTCATCTCTGTCCTTTTTTAAAAAAATAAATTATCCACCATGAGGCAGACCTCTATGATCCTAAACTATTACAGTGACCTTATAGCTAGTTGCTTATCTACATCACCTACCCCCTTTTCAGATCATCATCTTTTCAGATCACCAACAGCCTGACATTTCTTAAACAGTAATCTAATTTTGTTGTATTGTCTTAAAAATCTTTATTGGCTCTTTTTTGCCCATAGTGTTATCTAAATCCCTGACAGGCTTCATCCAATCTTGCATGGCTCCTTTAGATTTGTAAGCTCTGTGAGAATAGGTACCTTACCTATTCACCACTCTTATTTCCATATCTAGATCATTACCTGAAACAGCTGCTTATTCCTAAACTCTGGCTTCCAAAACTTGTGCATCTAGTCAGTTACAGGTATGTTGAGAGTTAGTTATTGGTGCCTTCTACCTTTGGGATGACCAGATGGGTCTTGGCTTGTGATTCAGAGGGCACCACTAAGAGTTATTGGAGTTGAGGTCTCTGCATAATGATAATGATATGCTGAGCACAGACAAGAAGATGTTCTGCAATCTTGGTATCTACTTCAGCAACCTGCTTCAGAGTGTACTACTGGCCATTGTGGATAAGGGCCCATAGAGCTGCTGGAGAGTTTATGTTCCAAGTGCCTGAGGAGCCAGCACAGCAAAAGTGTTACTCCTAGTTGGAAGTTGGGGCTGGAAGCTATAGAGGCCAGGCAGGGGTTCTAGACTATAGGCAGAAATCTCAACTGTGTCTTCGCATATGTTGAATGTATTTGGAACATTTGTGGCTGATACTTCTTTAGTGGCATTCAAGTTAGCCATAGTGTGGCCAGTATAACATCGTGTGTTCATCTGCAGTTTATTTTTAAATCATTTGATATTGATATGAACTTGGTATGAAGATGTTCAAATGATTTTGAAATCTTGCCAATGAAATAGAAGACTTTTTGGATGTTTAAATATAATTTTAACTATTGTATTTGACTAAAATAAAATAAATGATTGTTTTTCAATGAGCAAATAAGTTAAAGTACCAAAGATTTGAAGGAAAATGTGACCTCTTCCAGGAACAGCAGTCAGGCTTTATGAATGATAAATTTGTAGGAGAATCATTTATCTCTTTTGTCTATAGAAGAGGACTTTTTTTCAAGAATGGCATTAAGTAGATTATTTACAAAAAACGCTTGAAAGTAGAATATTTAAAACTAAATAAATGTAAATAGACAATTTCTGAAAAATAAAACTTCTGAAATTAGCTAAGTAGTAAGCACACTTCAGAGCATGGTATCAATTTGAGGCTATATGCATGCTCTCCATGTCACTAAGGTTCACAGAATATCTAGGTTTCTTAAATCCTTATTTGGTGAAATCTCTTTTTGCTTATACATTGAGACTAGAGTTGGCAATTTTTCACCAGATGTGGATTTTGAAAATTAAGTATACTTCTTGAAATGTGGGTTGCATTATAGCAATGTATTTATATGGTGCTACTCTCCAGGTTTACAGGAAACTTAAATGTTAATAGTTTGACTTACATATGAATCATGGAAATCACTCTGGAATCTATACTGGTTGTCATTTTTGTTTTAGGTGCAGGTTGTGGTGTTTACTTAAGTCTCCTAAACAGAGTTTGGAATCTCTGCACACTCTGTTATCTGAAGGAAGGAAAAGACTCTGCTCTTCAGTTCCTTCTTGCTGCTGCTAGAACTTTCAATGTGCACGACTTTGAGAATTTAAAAAGGTGCTGGCTACCATTCAACTTACTATCAGTTTTGATTGTAGTCAGTGAATTTTGAAAAAAATTCTGAATGCCCTGTAGTTGAATAAAAAATATTTGATCCTTTTGCCCAAAGCACTCCCCTACTCTACTTCCCCTTTAGGTTTGAAGCATTCCTATGCAGACAGTTTTGGATAAGTACCTAACAAATCAGCGTTTATGTAAATATATGGCACCCATATTACAGGAAGGTGTATTGTCTTTGTTGAGAATAGTAATGGAGAAAACATAATCATGGAAATGATAAAGTCAATTATCCATTAATGCATCCTGGGGTTTTAATATTACCTTTGCCCCCAACCTATAATGCAACATGCATTTAGTTCATAATATCACTACTACATTTTTAATGAAATTTTTTTCAGCTTTGATCTTTAATCACAGTTAAGGTGATCAGTTCATCCTTGTTTGTCCAGGGCTTTCCTGGTTTTGAAACTCAAAATCCCCTGTCCAGGGAACCCTGTCAGTCCTGAACCGAGATTGCTTTCTGTGAAATACTTTTATTTTCCTTAAGTGTTGTAAATAACCCTACCCATTATATAAATAATGCAGGAAATAATGACGAAAGTGCTCAGTCCTAGACTCAGAGGATTCTCTGGACAAGGGATTTTGAGATAGAGTGTCTTGTGAAGTATTTTTTTCTTGTTTTTATTTTCTTGTAATTAGTAATGTGGGTGTTTTCTCCTCTGTTACCAGTTTTCCAATTCCTTGTGAATTCTTGCTTTCTGGCAAGTTCTTTCTCCCTGTTACCCCCCCCCCCATCCCACCCCCACCCCCTGTACCTACTGTCCCAGCTGCCTTGCCTTATTTCAAAGTTCAGAGTCAAATTATGGCATCCTGTTTCTGAGAGATTCCCTAGGTACCACTGAATTTCAACAAATTAAAAGATTCCTTTTAGAGGATGCAAAATCTAGGCCAATTCAGAATTTTACTTCATTTGTTTTTTTCCCCCCAGTGTGTTTATCTTATTAAGTTTAAAAATGCTATTTCCTGTTAACTGTTTTCTAGTAAAATTTCTGAGCCAAATAAAACTCTCTTATAACAATACTGTTGGGGAATGATGTCTTGTTATTCATTATGTATTGTCACATAAAAGATGTATTATATTTAGATATCTAACTTGTTTTCAACATTGTACTTGAGAGAACTGTGGTAGGACAGAATCTATAGCAAATGTGGCATGGTATATGTTATACTAGATATTCATAAGCTTCATTTGATAGATTGATAAACATTTCTAGTTCTGCACAGTAATACTTTTCCAGTCAGCAGCTCAGTAATATCTGTTTTTTATCTGGACAGCAGATTGTTTATATGTATGCCTGTGTGTTTTGCCCATTTTTACAAAAATGTGTTAACAGAAAAGTAAAGTGCTAATGCTAATAGTATGAAAGGTAACACTTAAATATGTAACATGTTTTTTAAAAAGATGGAAATCATAAAGCATGATAAAAATGTTAAATCTTTAGCTTCAGCTACCCCCTCATTAGACTTGACCTTCTTACTATGTATTTGATTATGAATAAAAGAATAAAATTAACATTATGAAATACAGATTGTATATTATAATGACAGATTATGTCTAGAAGATATTTTATAATTATAGAAGGTATTTTATAATAGATTTTCTTATGACATATGCCTAATTATTTTACTTCTGGATGTTTAGTAATCATGTATCTTGAAGAATACATTATGTAAAAGTATAGCATTTGACAGAATTCCCTAATAACTCTGAAGAAAAGATTCTATGTATTGTGTGTGTGACTTAAATATAGTAGTGCTGGTAAAATTTTCTTTTGAGCAATCATTAAAAAATTAAACTGAGAACAAGGAAATTAAAGGAGAGTTATAATAACTGCTTCATTGCAGCATTCTCATTAGTCAAGTATCATGTGCCTACCTAGGCATGAATAACCATTTTTTTTTCCTAATTTAAATCTGGAAAGTTTCAGTTGTAGAACAGCTTGAATAGTTGTTGTAAGTAGTCATTCTTTTTTCTTTTTTTTTTCTCCGTATTTATCTTCAGAAACAGTGAAGGTCATCTTGTATCCATAGAGACCACATGCAATTTCCTCATTATTTCTAGCATTATTTATATAATAGGTAGAGTTATTGACAACACTTAAACAACAACAACAAAAAATTTCAGAGAGCAACCTTTAAATATTATCACAGGGTAAATATCAGTGACTGAGTTTCTTTACTCCATAGTTTCTCAAAAAACTTGGTATTAAAAAATTAGTAGTCTTTCAGAATTGTGTATATTGATTTCAGTAGTTGTCCTACAGGTTGTGTGCATACACATGCATGCTCATATATGTATATATGTTCATTTCTTGGAAATTACTGTGACTTAATTGTAGACTTTAATTGTTTTAATAGTTTTTTTTTTTTAAGAAAGTTACTTGATGTCTTTTAGATTAAAGCAAATCTTGGTTTTGATGAAGTGCAGATTTACTGTATTTCATTTAGTCATCTTTCAGAAAAGTGATGTGGGAAACAAAATGATCTTAGTGTATTGCTTTTTAAACAAATCCAACATCATGAGTTTGTTCCTTTCATTATCCTGTTTGCTCATTTCTATGGACTGTGCATCTTTAACCTAAATTAGCTGGGAATAGAGGAAGAAAATTATCAGACTCCTACTCTTTATAGGTCCACTGCCAGTAAAACCAGCTGTATTCATTATCACCTAAATTAGGACACTTTTGTTAATAAAAGGGCAACAGACAAACATTGGGACTGTTTTGGACAAACTGAGATGTATGGGTCACTAATTATTAGGGTTATCCTTCTAGTGTATTGTTTACTATTAATTTTAAAACTTCAGGTTTAGGGAGAGAAAAACTCATTTTTGCATATGTTAGAAAAATGTATCCTCATGTAGGATAGCAGTGTAATATCTTTAATGTTGCAGACTTACCAAGATAAATTTGTTAGATGTATTTTCTTTTAAATTATTTAGGAGAAATTGCAGTAGTTAAAACACTTATTATTTTGTTAGTTAGTAGCACTAACTTTGTCATTTTTGTTCCAAGATGTCACAGCTGTTGTTCAGCACTAGAAATTCTATAAATTATTAGCTAAAGATGGTGACCAGGAGCATTTATATCTGTTCCTTCTGTTAATTTGTTGTTCAGAAAGTCTGTTGTTGTAAACATCCCCGACTGGAAGCTGTAAGACACAACTAAGCTTTCAGTCAGATGTTTGCTGCTACCGGCTATTCACAGACATCCTTTGGGTATAATTCTGTCTGAGGAGTAGAGTTGAGGAGGCTATAAAATGTGTGGGAAAACATCAGAAATCTTTAGATTCCTTCATGTGCTACTCTGACAGTGTACATATTATGGCAGTTTAATGTAGGGTGCTGGCCTAATAACAGGATATGCCATCTGACCTTCCCAGACTTAACATGCTCTGGTGGGCCTTAGAGAATTTAGTTTAAAAAAATTATTTTTTCACCACTATGGGTTCCTCTCTCTGTTTTTACCTTGTCAGTGAATTTTTATTCTACATAACCTTTCCAAATCAATTGAATTTAACTTCCCAACAATTCAGGAGCCTCCTTTAGGAATTTTATAAAAGTTCTGGGGAATAAATTTACACCACCACCCACCAATATACAACATAAAAATTTCAGTTTTTTTCTGTAGTTAAGAGATTACATGTAAACTTTTTCTCCCTCCTGTTATCCCCTCCCCACTTCCTGTTCTCCTCATCCTGAATGATGTCACAGCTCCTAATAAGAATTCTCCTCTCTAAAAAAACACTACAAGGCTTCAAACCACTAAGCCTGTTTACAACATTTGCTAATGGTTATATAAGTCTTCATATATAAATATATTTTCCGAAGTATGTCCAGGTTGTTGATTGGCTTATCTCTTCCTAATTAAAGTATTGCTGCCTTGTGAGCAAGTGTACCGTATCTATTTTTTGTGTTTCCCCACAGAGCTGAATAGTCTAGGGCAGGGGTGGGGAAACTTTTCATGTTGGAAGGCTGTATTAATGTAGCTGTAATCAAATGAGGCTGCATTCAAGAAACTTCAATTAGATACTTAAAAATATACATTATTTTGTAAAAATAGATACATAATTTCAAATAAATGAAAACTATTTGTGAATTTTAAAGTTAACTAACCTTTTAATGACTTTGTTGTGTCTGCTTTCTGTTGGAAAGCATTTGAATATTTGGTTTCAGCATGGAGGTCTGCCATTTCAGTTGATCCTCTAGATGTGTATCAGTCATTTGTGATCTTAAGGGCATCTTGATTTGGGTTAGGTTGGAGAATGTAGATTCACAGCAATAAGTGGCTGAAAAGCAAGAAAGCATTTTTCGGGCATGTTGCCAAAGGTGTGGGTATTATAATGCATTTTTCCATACTTCGATTGGATCTTCCTTAGCATCAGACCATGGCTTTAAAATGTCATCTACTGAGAGCTCAGTCAGTTCCATCTGTAGTTCTTTAGGTGCCTTAATGATATCACCTAGGTGAGGCTGAAATGCTAATTCGAGTGTGATGTCATGATTCTCAAAGTTAGTGAACCTTTTATTATATTCTCCAATTATTAGGTCTATAAGAGCTGTATATCCTTTAAATGATTTGCATATATCATCCTGCTCATCAGTGACCTTTACTAACTGGGGAAAATATTAATTTGACACTTCCTTTTGAAGAAGAAATGTTTTGAAAATGCGTTTTTTGAAATGCTTGCATTTTTTGCCTTGTATCATATATAGACTTAGTTTTACTTGCAAAGAAATATTCCAGTCATTTTGATTTGACATGATATTATACAGAAATACTGCATTCCTATAGAAATCTTCTTTCAGTAATTCACATTGCTTATTCTGTTTTTCATAAAATTTAACCATCTGTTCTCTCAGAGATAAAATTTTGGCTAACACCTGTCCTTGTGATAGCCAACACACTTCAGAAGGATAGGGCAATTCCACACTGAATACCTCATCATTCAACTTTAGCTGCTACAAAACTTGACAATGTTGAATTTGCATTTGCATGAATATAGTTAACTATACTTATAACTTACTGCAAAGTGTCACTTAAAATAGTAGCTTTAGCTACTAAAATAGTAGCTTTAGCTAAATAGTAGCTTTAGCAAGATTTTGCTGATGTAAGACACAATGACAAGAAATGAGAGCATCTGGATCTGTTAATACTTTTCTTTTTCCAAATCTGTGCAGTAACCCTTCATGTCTTCCTGTCATGGAAGGTGCACCATCTATACATACACTCACAACCACATTCAGTCCAACTTCACTACATTTATCTTGAAAGTTGTTGAAGATACCTATTCCTTGTGTTCTGTTAGCAGAAGTACACCCAAAGCAAGTAACTCTTTGTAGCAAAGAAAATCTTATGTTACGACCCAAATGAAGTATAAAATTTTCGCGGAGTCAGTAGTATCAGTTGATTGATTCAAGGTGATTGAATAATATATATGCCTTTTTTTTTTTTTTTAAGTATTGCATGAAGTTCTGTTAAGTTGAAGGCTAACCAGTCAGTATGGTTCTCCTTGAAAGAGGCTATTGTTTGTACTTTGAAACATTATCGAGGTCTAAGCATCCTACAGCTTCAGCAATGCATTCTTTCACAATTTCTACATCACTGAATGGCTTCCCTTTTTTCCTGGGTACATAAGCTACTTTATAAGTTGCTTCAGTGGCCTTATTTCCAGGTCTTATTGCTGCTTGAAAGAATTGTCTTTGCTTTTGCTTTTCAGCTTTTAATT